GAAATTCCCCTCAGGCAGGTGTTGCAGAAATGGATGTCCCCCATTGTTGTAAATGAAAGCAGAACGGGCAGCACAAGTAAGGACCTTCCTCTTGTGGGGTGGGATGGGGGGGATGGGATCTCTTACCTTTGGTTGGAGTCCCAATCCAGTTGAGGTAGCGAGTGAGTTTTTTGGAGATGTACGTCTTTCCGCGTGCAGGGAGCCCGACCATTACAATCATCGTGGGAGAGTTTGTAAACTGGGGTACCGACGCTGCAAGAAATAAATATATAAAGTCATCGGAGGCGGCGCCCAACGAAGATCAGCGCCATGACAACCTTTAATATTCCATAACCTCGCAGACAACCTCAAGTCCACGTCACCCGGTTATATTCGGGGACATCAAAAAAATCTCACAGTACAGTAATACCCTGGTTTACAAGTAACTTTGTAATTGGTTTATTTTTCTTTATATTTTATACGTTATTATATTACAGTACAGTATTGTAATCATTTTATATGAATATTTTTGGGATGTGGAACGAATCATCTGAATTTCCATTATTTCCTATGGGGGGAAATTTGCTTTGATATACAAGCGCTTTGGATTACAAGCATGCTTCCGGAACGAATTATGCTCGTAAACCAAGGTATTACTGTACATTGCGTTTGGAAAGCAGCCACAGCCCGTGAAGAAGAGTCTATCCCCTGCCAGCAGAGAAGGACCCGCGCCCTCTGTGGGGAACGCAGTGGTCTCTCTGTGGGGGTCCGACACCCACCTTTGCATGCCGATTCAGAGCTACAGATCTACAATAGTCATGCTCCCTGCAAATTCGCAGGGCAAGTGTTACACCTCTGAAGAGAGACCACTGCTTCCACACAGCATGCGTCCTTCACCGTGCTGGCAGAGGAGAGGCTTTGCTACTCGAGATGCAAAGTCTTTCTAAAGGAAACCAACAACAGGAACCCTTTTGGTGTGGATGCGCCTGGGAATGAAGTCCGAAGGTCAGGAAGCAGTTTTTGGGTGCAGTTGCTGGAGGATGATAATATTAGACTTCAGTCTCGTGCAGAAAAATGTACCAATACGTAAAGGCAACTAAAAGACCTTCTGCATTGGCGGGTCTGTTTGGGGTGGGCGTGTTCCCTACTTGAGAAAACAAACCAACGACGCAACTGTCAAAATAAAAGTGCTTGCAAACTATGTGCGCAAACTTTTTTTTCAACCTTTAATACCCCCGGGGAGCCATATTTGCATACAATCTAGATCAGGGGTAGCCAAACTGCGGCTCTCCAGCTGTGCTGAAACTACAAATCCCATAAGGCCTTGCAAGCCACAGGCATGACTCCCAGAGGCAGAAGCATGATGGAATTTGTAGTTTCAGCAAAGCTGGAGAGCCGAGGTTGCCTACCCCTGACCTAGATTCCACACACAGGCCCTGTGGGCTGGTCTGACGATGCCGCCGTCTCCGATTCCATGAAACATCCAAAATTCCCCTACAAAGCACAGATCATGTGATCTCCTCAGAGCCGGACAAATCCCAGAAACCGGGTCACCAATTTAAAAATTTACTTTTGGGGTCTTCTCTAGTTGCCAATGGACCTGGCTCCTGGATTGGACAGACTGGCTCCTGGATTGGACAGACTGGCTCCTGGATTCCACATCAATCTGGCCACCATTGGGTCTGCCAGCCAACCAAGCATGCATCAGAACGGAGGAAACTCTGCCGGAGTCCAACAGGACAAGGAACAGAAACGTTTGGCTTTCAGGCTATGTTCACACCCAGATGCAGTGGGTTCTGGCCCGATTCTGCGCGGAACGCACTGCATCGCGTCCGGCTCACTTTTTTTGTGGGGCGTGGCTGGCCATTGAAGTCCCTCCGGCCGCACGGGATAGCAAGGCACGTGGTGCCTGCGGTCCGGTGCAATCAAAATGCGGCACGCACTATTTTGATCGCACTACACCGGACCACAGGCAGCATGTGCCTTGCGATCCCATTGGGGCCCGGAGGGCGTGGCTACAGTGCCATTCACTCCAATGGCCAGCCACGCCCCACAAAAAAAGTGAGCCGGACACGATGCGATGCAGTGCGTTCCGGACAGAAATCGGCCAGGAACGCACTGCATCTGGGTGTGAACTAACCCTCAAAGCTTGCGGTTACGCAAACTTGGCTTTTGTTAAACCGGCAATCGGAATCCAAAAACAGAAAAAAACACCCGAAAAGTCGCCAGACGGGCCGAGTGGAGGAGAAAGAACTGGAATAACAGTCATCAAAAAAGGGAACGCACAGACCACACCGAGGCAACAAAGACACGGGCCCCCGTCACTGGAGGGCTGACTCCTATGAAGAAGTCTTTGAAGTCCAACCACACCTCAAGACAAGTCTGGACAAATCCCAGGAGCCAACGCGCCTTACAAAGGACAGCTGGAGCCCAACTTCTTGAAGTTCCCTCTAATG